CATCCTTCAGTTTCTCAATTTCTCTAGAGCCTTTAGAGTTTTAAAAGTACAAAGCCTTTAAGTCCCAATTCTTGATCTTTAATTTTTCCAAATCTCTTAGGACCATGTTCTTAAAAATAGAAATGTGGGAGTGCGCTGGAGGGTTTGTAAATAGGGAGGCATTTTTAAGATGTCATGATTTTATGTGTATTGGACCTTGATTATTGGTCTGTCGTATTAGTGGGTTATTAAGAAAATATCTCTTCATAGCCAAGCATCTAATAAATTTATGTATGTCTATGAAAGTGTTGAATTTGTTAAGATTAGTACCGGGTGCAAATTTTAAGCCTTTATTCAACAGTACCATTTCTTTATCAGTTAACACTTTACTACTTAAATTGAAGATACCTTCCTTGTTTATGTTCTGCGCTTTTTGTCTGTTGATCCTCTTTCCTCCTCTTCTTCCTCTGCTCGTGTATTTCTTTTGCGATGTGTGTGTAAATTATTATGTTTAAAACCCTTTTTATTCCAATTATAGGAATTAGGTTGTCTGTAGTTCGAAGGGGCTTGATTATGGGTATATTTATTCTGGATTTGGTTATGTTCCTGCCAGTGTTTCCCCTGCCCTCCTTGGTCATTATTTTTATTGCCTTGGTGGTATTGTTTGTATTGGTTATGGTTATAAGGTCTATGGTTGTTACTATAGTACTGATGTGGTTTATAGTGATTCATTGAAAGAGTCCTCATGTCACGATGGCCAATAGATGGGCTATAGGAATTTTGTAATGGTGTGAATCTATTCCTAGTTGGAATATTAAATGAAGGTTGATGCACATTATCGTGACCTGATTGAGATAAAAATTTAGGGGTGTGGGGGGGGCCTATATGAGTTTTTCCTCCCTCCACTCCCCCTATAATTCAGATTATCTTTGCTTTGTGTAGTTATTTCTACCTCTTGTGGGTTATTTATAAAGTCATATCTGGTGGCTTCCCATTTAAAAACTTCTTTTTCTCTATAGTCATTTAAATCTCGTGTATATTTTTGCTTCTTTTTAATTCTTTGTTCTTTCTCAGTTTTTTCTAATAGTAATCTCAATTTGTCAGATTCTACTCTATATTCATCACTCTCCATGTATTGAGAAAGTTTCTCTTTGGTTTTGTTTATTTCTACATCCAAATATTCTAATTTTTTTTCTTTTTTCTGTTGATCAGAAATTTCAGCAATTCTATCCCTTTGTTATTAAAAAACAAATATCACTCAGACTCACTGTTAATATCGCCTGTTTCTGGTGGTATGTCCCATCTAAGAGATCTCGGGACCATGTTCTCTTTTATATACTGCTCAAGAAAAGAAATGTCCCAAATCGTGCGTATCTCTGAGGTGGTATGATTAGTTAGATGGGCAAAAAGACCATGAAGATCATTATTTTGTGCGGCAGTTTTAAACACATCATCCGGGATGATTGATCTTTTTGATCTAAATTCAATTATATACATTTACTAGATCTCAAGAATACTCTAATTACTAGAAAGATAATATCACTAGGAATGGATACAAATTCGTATAAGATCTTGCTGCTCAGTATATTGAGGTATTTAGTACAAATTGAAATAACAATGAAAAAACAAGCGCTAGATCTATGTGACAGGAGCAGCTGGCATGAAAGGTAATCACCTCAAAAACCTTCTATAACATACAAATATCATACACCATGCAGCGCTTAAATGGCTCAATAATATCCTTAATGAATATCTGTATAGCGTCTCTGTTTAAAAGGAGAAAAAGAAAAATACAAGTATTCCACAATATTACAGATAGGTGATGAATCGTGACAATATATTAGATTATCAGATGGTGACTTCGGTGGTAAATATAGCTGCAGAATGCACTAACCAGATAGCGCTTATTATCGCGTATATAATTGATGGAATTAGGTCATCTGAGGTTGGACATCTAGTGCTCGAAGCTGTTGATAAACACCACCAGGAATATTGGTATTTCAGCCAGTATAACCGAGTGATGCAATATATTGGCTACGTACCTCGGCACCGCTTGGCTTGAATGTGGAACTAGACATCAACTGCTATATTATTATACCAGTTGATTCTCTTCATTTTATAACTAATTATATTAATCGTGGGAATAAGTTGTTTTAAATCAAAGGCCTATGGTTATGAATTTTATTATATTACTATTTTTAAAAGATCCATTATGACAGTAAAGTGATCTATTCACAAGCGTCATATAGATTTTATATTTTAGTGATCGGTGTTATTTGATTATCCTCGTTTTAGTTCTTATTTATACATTTGTTTCAAAAATTTTTTTTTTTTTTTCTAATGTTGCCAATTATAGGTGTGATATATACGAAAGAACAGTTTTTACATTAATATTTAATAATAATAATAATAATTTATTAATTAATATGGACTATATTATACATTCTGTATTTTAATTATCATGCTGCGTTATATATATTTATGGAGTTTTTATATATTCAGTATTTATTTATTGGTATATTTAAAATTATCTGGGTTCTATAATTTTTATGTTTTTTATATTTTGAAATTTTTATATATTCACGATTTTATCATAATTAGAGATGAGCGAATTATTCAAAAAATCGATTCGACTGATAAGGCGAATTCGTGAAAAAAAATTTGATTCGAGTCGAATATGTTCGCTGCTAATTTAACTTATAAAAGGGTGTTTCTAGGCTTCAGAGAGCCTTTATATTAGTGCAGAACACTGTACCTTTAATTTAAATGCCCTTGGAGTCTGCTGGGGAAGAGAAATAAATACTGTCAGTCAGTATGACATGCAGATGAGTGCCGTCGATCTTAGAATCACCGCACACTTCACTCATTTGGCCAGTCACGGGGCCAAAACCAGAGTGTGGAGCCACAGTGTGGCGGTGGAGGCAGCAGCAATGGGAGGCCATACAGCACCCTATGACAAAATAGAACCCACCAGCAGTGTGAGGAGACCTGAAAGTGGCACATGGCAGAGTGTGGCGATGGAGACAGCAGCAATGGGAGGCGGTACAGGGACCCATGACACACTGTGGACCTGGCAGCAGCATGAGGAGGCGGTACAGGGGCCCATGGCAGATTAGGGGCCTGGCAGCAGCAATGGGAGGCCCGTAATCTGCCAGCACCCTATGACAAAATGGAACCCAGCAGCAGTGTGAGGAGACCTGAAAGTGGCACATGGCAGAGTGTAGCGATGGAGACAGCAGCAATGGGAGGCCGTACAGGGACCCATGACACACTGTGAAACTGGGAGCAGCATGAGGAGGCGGTACAGGGGCCCATGGCAGATTAGGGGCCTGGCAGCAGCAATGGGAGGCCGTACAGGGACCCATGAGACACTGTGGACCTGGCAGCAGCATGAGGAGGCGGTACAGGGGCCCATGGCAGATAACAGGCCTGGCAGCAGCAATGGGAGGCCCGTAATCTGCCAGCACCCTATGACAAAATGGAACCCACCAGCAGTGTGAGGAGACCTGAAAGTGGCATATGTTTGGGGCATGATTCATGGCGGATTTAGTCAGTTGTGTCAGGAACTGGTGGTTTGAAATCCAGACTAATCCACGCCTGATTCATTTTCACAAACGTGAGTCTCTCCACACTTTGGGTGGACAGTCGTGTCCTCCGCGGAGTTACAATACCTCCCTGCCGCACTAAACACGCGCTCCGATGCCACGCTACTGGCCGGGCATGACAGCCTTTCAAGGGCAAATTCAGCTAGTTGGGGCCAAAGGTCAAGTTTCGTTGCCCAGTAGTCAAGGGGATTGTCTACCTCGGTTGGCAGGGTGCTGTCCAAGTAGGCCCAAGCCTGTTGTTTGAGGTCCTGCTCCAGGTCCACCTGATGCTGCTGCTGCTGGGCTGGTTAGTAGTTTCCTCACTGCGCTGGTGAAGAAAGCTACTCATCATCGACTGCAGACTGAGGGAGCCCGCTGCTGGTGGAGCTGCCACTGCTCCTACCACCCCACCCCTCCCCTGCTGCCATGGCAGCGGAACGCAAGGGCACAGGGCCCACAGTGTCTGAGGATGGACGTTGGCGCAGAAAGGCAGAGACCAACTGACTACATAGGTGGTTTTTATAGTACGTTATTTTGGCCTCCCTCTCAGCAGGTGTGAAAAAGGCCACCATTTTGGAATGGTAGCGAGGGTCCAACAAGGTGGACAGCCAAAAGTCATCCCTCTGTCTGATGGTTATTATTCGGCTGTCGCTACGCAAGCAACCGAGCATGCTATGGGCCATTTGTGCCAAGGAATGCGAGGGACTCCCTGCCTCCATCTCCACAGCATACTGCCACGGTGCGTCTGGGTCCTCTGTCTCCTCCTCCTCCTCTACCAGATGCTCCTGCTCCTCCACTCCTGTCCGCTGAGTGGAAAAACCACCCATTTCACTCAATAATTCCTGAGCACCAATGTCCTCCTCTACCCTCCTCCTCTTCTTCCTGTCCTGCCCCCACAGGGGTCATGTGGCGTTGAGATCTGTGCGCCACGTCTACCGCACTCTGACCAGCCATTGTTAACAGCATTTGTTCCAGGACGTGCAACAGAGGAATGACGTCGTTCATCCCATAGTCCTGCCGACTCACGAATAGCGTGGCCTCCTCAAAGGCCTGAGCAAGCGGCAGGTGTCACGCATGAGCTGCTAATGGCTGACATCGAAGTTACACAGGGGTGTACCTTTATCCGCTTGTAACATCAGGAAAATCGGTGATGGCCTTTCGCTGTTCGTAAAGGCGGTCTAAACATATGTAGGGAATTCCACCTTGTTGCAACGTCACAGCATGAGGAGTCGGTACGGGGGCCCATGGCAGATTACGGGCCTGGCAGCAGCAATGGGAGGCCCGTAATCTGCCAGCACCCTATGAAAAAATGGAACCCACCAGCAGTGTGAGGAGACCTGAAAGTGGCACATGGCAGAGTGTGGCGATGGAGACAGCAGCAATGGGAGGCCGTACAGGGACCCATGAGACACTCTGGACCTGGCAGCAGCATGAGGAGGCGGTACAGGGGCCCATGGCAGATTAGGGGCCTGGCAGCAGCAATGGGAGACGCCCGTAATCTGCCAGCAATCCTATGACAAAATGGAACCCAGCAGCAGTGTGAGGAGACCTGAAAGTGGCACATGGCAGAGTGTGGCGATGGAGACAGCAGCAATGGGAGGCCGTACAGGGACCCATGAGACACTGTGGACCTGGCAGCAGCATGAGGAGGCGGTACAGGGGCCCATGGCAGATTAGGGGCCTGGCAGCAGCAATGGGAGGCCCGTAATCTGCCAGCACCCTATGACAAAATGGAACCCAGCAGCAGTGTGAGAGGAGACCTGAAAGTGGCACATGGCAGAGTGTGGCGATGGAGACAGCAGCAATGGGAGGCCGTACAGGGACCCATGAGACACTGTGGACCTGGCAGCAGCATGAGGGCGGGCGGTACAGGGGCCCATGGCAGATTAGGGGCCTGGCAGCAGCAATGGGAGGCCCGTAATCTGCCAGCAACCTATGACAAAATGGAACCCAGCAGCAGTGTGAGGAGACCTGAAAGTGGCACATGGCAGAGTGTGGCGATGGAGACAGCAGCAATGGGAGGCCGTACAGGGACCCATGAGACACTGTGGACCTGGCAGCAGCATGAGGAGGCGGTACAGGGGCCCATGGCAGATTAGGGACCTGGCAGCAGCAGCAATGGGAGATGCCCGTAATCTGCCAGCACCCTATGACAAAATGGAACCCAGCAGCAGTGTGAGGAGACCTGAAAGTGGCACATGGCAGAGTGTGGCGATGGAGACAGCAGCAATGGGAGGCCGTACAGGGACCCATGAGACACTGTGGACCTGGCAGCAGCATGAGGAGGCGGTACAGGGGGCCCATGGCAGATTAGGGGCCTGGCAGCAGCAATGGGAGGCCCGTAATCTGCCAGCAACCTATGACAAAATGAAACCCAGCAGCAGTGTGAGAGGAGACTGAAAGTGGCACATGGCAGAGTGTGGCGATGGAGACAGCAGCAATGGGAGGCCGTACAGGGACCCATGAGACACTCTGGACCTGGCAGCAGCATGAGGAGGCGGTACAGGGGCCCATGGCAGATTACAGGCCTGGCAGCAGCAATGGGAGGCCCGTAATCTGCCAGCACCTATGACAAAAAATGGAACCCACCAGCAGTGTGAGGAGACCTGAAAGTGGCACATGGCAGAGTGTGGCGATGGAGACAGCAGCAATGGGAGGCCGTACAGGGACCCATGAGACACTGTGGACCTGGCAGCAGCATGAGGAGGCGGTACAGGGGCCCATGGCAGATTACAGATTAGGGGCCTGGCAGCAGCAATGGGATGCCCGTAATCTGCCAGCAACCCTATGACAAAAAATGGAACCCAGCAGCAGTGTGAGGAGACCTGAAAGTGGCACATGGCAGAGTGTGGCGATGGAGACAGCAGCAATGGGAGGCCGTACAGGGACCCATGAGACACTCTGGACCTGGCAGCAGCATGAGGAGGCGGTACAGGGGCCCATGGCAGATTAGGGGCCTGGCAGCAGCAATGGGAGGCCCGTAATCTGCCAGCACCCTATGACAAAATGGAACACCAGCAGCAGTGTGAGGAGACCTGAAAGTGGCACATGGCAGAGTGTGGCGATGGAGACAGCAGCAATGGGAGGCCGTACAGGGACCCATGAGACACTGTGGACCTGGCAGCAGCATGAGGAGGCGGTACAGGGGCCCATGGCAGATTACAGGCCTGGCAGCAGCAATGGGAGGCCCGTAATCTGCCAGCAAATCTATGACAAAAAATGGAACCCAGCAGCAGTGTGTGAGGAGACCTGAAAGTGGCACATGGCAGAGTGTGGGCGATGGAGACAGCAGCAATGGGAGGCCGTACAGGGACCCATGAGACACTGTGGACCTGGCAGCAGCATGAGGAGGCGGTACAGGGGCCCATGGCAGATTAGGGGCCTGGCAGCAGCAATGGGAGACCCCCGTAATCTGCCAGCACCCTATGACAAAAAATGGAACCCAGCAGCAGTGTGAGGAGACCTGAAAAGTGGCACATGGCAGAGTGTGGCGATGGAGACAGCAGCAATGGGAGGCCGTACAGGGACCCATGAGACACTGTGGACCTGGCAGCAGCATGAGGAGGCGGTACAGGGGCCCATGGCAGATTAGGGGCCTGGCAGCAGCAATGGGAGACGCCCGTAATCTGCCAGCAACCTATGACAAAAATGGAACCCAGCAGCAGTGTGAGGAGACCTGAAAGTGGCACATGGCAGAGTGTGGCGATGGAGACAGCAGCAATGGGAGGCCGTACAGGGACCCATGAGACACTGTGGACCTGGCAGCAGCATGAGGAGGCGGTACAGGGGCCCATGGCAGATTAGGGGCCTGGCAGCAGCAATGGGAGACGCCCGTAATCTGCCAGCAACCTATGACAAAATGGAACCCACCAGCAGTGTGAGGAGACCTGAAAGTGGCACATGGCAGAGTGTGGCGATGGAGACAGCAGCAATGGGAGGCCGTACAGGGACCCATGAGACACTGTGGACCTGGCAGCAGCATGAGGAGGCGGTACAGGGGCCCATGGCAGATTAGGGGCCTGGCAGCAGCAATGGGAGGCCCGTAATCTGCCAGCACCCTATGACAAAATGGAACCACAGCAGCAGTGTGAGGAGACCTGAAAGTGGCACATGGCAGAGTGTGGCGATGGAGACAGCAGCAATGGGAGGCCGTACAGGGACCCATGAGACACTGTGGACCTGGCAGCAGCATGAGGAGGCGGTACAGGGGCCCATGGCAGATTACAGGCCTGGCAGCAGCAATGGGAGGCCCGTAATCTGCCAGCAACCTATGACAAAATGGAACCCAGCAGCAGTGTGAGGAGACCTGAAAGTGGCACATGGCAGAGTGTGGCGATGGAGACAGCAGCAATGGGAGGCCGTACAGGGACCCATGAGACACTGTGGACCTGGCAGCAGCATGAGGAGGCGGTACAGGGGCCCATGGCAGATTAGGGGCCTGGCAGCAGCAATGGGAGACGCCCGTAATCTGCCAGCAACCTATGACAAAATGGAACCTAGCAGCAGTGTGAGGAGACCTGAAAGTGGCACATGGCAGAGTGTGGCGATGGAGACAGCAGCAATGGGAGGCCGTACAGGGACCCATGAGACACTGTGGGACCTGGCAGCAGCATGAGGAGGCGGTACGGGGCCCATGGCAGATTACAGGCCTGGCAGCAGCAATGGGAGGCCCGTAATCTGCCAGCACCCTATGACAAAATGGACAGCACCAGCAGTGTGAGGAGACCTGAAAGTGGCACATGGCAGAGTGTGGCGATGGAGACAGCAGCAATGGGAGGCCGTACAGGGACCCATGAGACACTGTGGACCTGGCAGCAGCATGAGGAGGCGGTACGGGGGCCCATGGCAGATTACAGGCCTGGCAGCAGCAATGGGAGGCCCGTAATCTGCCAGCACCCCTATGACAAAATGGACAGCACCAGCAGTGTGAGGACACCTGAAAGTGGCACATGGCAGAGTGTGGCGATGGAGACAGCAGCAATGGGAGGCCGTACAGGGACCCATGAGACACTCTGGACCTGGCAGCAGCATGAGGAGGCGGTACAGGGGCCCAAGGCAGATTACAGGCCTGGCAGCAGCAATGGGAGGCCCGTAATCTGCCAGCACCCTATGACAAAATGGAACCCAGCAGCAGTGTGAGGAGACCTGAAAGTGGCACATGGCAGGGGCATGATTCATGGCGGATTTAGTCAGTTGTGTCAGGAACTGGTGGTTTGAAATCCAGACTAATCCACGCCTGATTCATTTTCACAAGCGTGAGTCTCTCCACACTTTGGGTGGACAGTCGTGTCCTCCGGAGTTACAATACCTCCTGCCGCACTAAACACTGCGGTCCGATGCCACGCTACTGGCCGGCAACTTGGACAGGAGGACGTTCAGCTTTTGCACCGTCGGGTGCGTGCTCGCAAACTGTTGTCTCTTGGAAACGGATTCCAAGAAAGACTGCTGACGGAATCCGTGAAGAGGAGTAGCAGGAGAAGGAGCACTACGAGCGGAAGATGCCAACGAGCGACAACTCCCCTCAGCAGAGGTGTTGGAGCCTTGACTGGCTGATAGAGGGCGATTGACGTTGGGTGACGGAGCAAGTAACGGAGCGGGTGATGGAGCGGGGGCTGGGGCAGGCAGAACCGCCGTATCTTTATCACGGTTTTCCCAGGCCACCAAATGGCGATGCTGCATATGCTGACGCAACGCTGTAGTCCCAACATGGGCCCCCTGGCCACGCTTGACTTTCTGGCCACATAGTCGACATACGGCTACGTTTACTTCCTGGGCGGCTTGAGGAAAAATTGCCACACCGCCGAGTAGGAAACTTTGCCCCCACTACTCCTCACTGGCTGACTGCTACTTCCTCCGTGCACACCGGCACCACTACTGGCCGTGGTGGTAGGCTGCAGTGGAGCTGGTGCTCTACTCCGTGGCCGTTTGCCTCCACTGACACTGCTGCGACCCTGCTGCCTCCTGGGCAACCCACCGACTGTTTTGCTCGCTGCCAAGCTGGCACCCTCTTCTCCTGATGATGCGGAAGAAAATGCCTGATGACGACGAGGCTGCCAAGTGCGATCAGCCTCCTCATCATCAATTAGGGTCTCCGCCTCAATACTAGCCCCCTCGGCTGCGTCTGGGTCAGGAGACAGACTGTCTCTAGACCGGCTACTGAGCCACTCTCCTCGCCAGTACTTCTTCGCCTGGCTGCTGAAGAGATGGATGTCTCCCCCCGTTCCTGACCGCCCTCTGTTAGCTCTTCCTCACTGTACAGTGGGGCTGAGCCCACAGCATGCATACTTCGCTTGGTGAGGGAACAGCAAAGGACAGGGGCAGGTAGAGGACACGTGATTTCAGTGGGCTTGCTCCCGGGCCATGCCAACTAACGGTTGTGTCTGACGTACACCGACCGTTGGCTGTAGGTGTCAGAGGTGACCTGGGAAGAGGAAGACGACCGAGCCAACCAATCGATGACGGCAGGGTTGTCGGTGGAGACACGACCGCTGGATGACACCGGGAGCACTGGCCTCTGGCTGCGACTAGTGCTGCCTCGACCCCCTTCCTCTGCTGCCACATCTGCTCGCTCCTAAAACATTGCCTCCTCTGCCACTCCTCTGCGTGTTGTCTGACATACTCTTTAATTCAACGATTCTGTGTCCCTCAGTAACAATTCTGTGTCCCTGAGTAACAATTCTGTGTCTGTCCCTGAGTAACAATTCTGTGTCTGTCCCTGAGTAACAATTCTGTGTCCCTTCCTCAGTAACAATTCTGTGTCCCTCAGTAACAATTCTGTGTCCCTCAGTAACAATTCTGTGTCTTTCCCTGAGTAACAATTCTGTGTCCCTGAGTAACAATTCTGTGTCCCTGAGTAACAATTCTGTGTCCCTGAGTAACAATTCTGTGTCCCTCAGTAACAATTATGTGTCTGTCCCTGAGTAACAATTCTGTGTCCCTCAGTAACAATTCTGTGTCCCTCAGTAACAATTCTGTGTCCCTCTAACAATTATGTCCCTCAGTAACAATTCTGTGTCTGTCCCTGAGTGACAATTCTGTGTCCCTCGAGTAACAATTCTGTGTCCCCCAGTAACAATTCTGTGTCCCTCAGTAACAATTCTGTGTCTGTCCCTGAGTAACAATTCTGTGTCTGTCCCTGAGTAACAATTCTGTGTCCCTGAGTAACAATTCTGTGTCCCTCAGTAACAATTCTGTGTCCCTCAGTAACAATTCTGTGTCTGTCCCTGAGTAACAATTCTGTGTCCCTGAGTAACAATTCTGTGTCCCCTGAGTAACAATTCTGTGTCCCTCAGTAACAATTATGTGTCTGTCCCTGAGTAACAATTCTGTGTCCCTCAGTAACAATTCTGTGTCCCTCAGTAACAATTCTGTGTCCCTCTAACAATTATGTGTCCCTCAGTAACAATTCTGTGTCTGTCCCTGAGTGACAATTCTGTGTCCTCAGTAACAATTCTGTGTCCCCTCAGTAACAATTCTGTGTCTGTCCCTGAGTAACAATTCTGTGTCTGTCCCTGAGTAACAATTCTGTGTCCCTGAGTAACAATTCTGTGTCCCTCAGTAACAATTTCTGTTCTGTGTCCCTCAGTAACAATTCTGTGTCTGTCCCTGAGTAACAATTCTGTGTCCCTGAGTAACAATTCTGTGTCCCTCAGTAACAATTCTGTGTCCCTCAGTAAACAATTATGTGTCTGTCCCTGAGTAACAATTCTGTGTCCCTCAGTAACAATTCTGTGTCCCTCAGTAACAATTCTGTGTCCCTCAGTAACAATTCTGTGTCCCTCAGTAACAATTCTGTGTCCCTCAGTAACAATTCTGTGTGTCCCTCAGTAACAATTCTGTGTCGGTCCCGTGAGTAACAATTCTGTGTCGGTCCGTGAGTAACAATTCTGTGTCTGTCCCTGAGTAACAATTCTGTGTCCCTGAGTAACAATTCTGTGTTCCTCAGTAAACAATTCTGTGTCCCTCAGTAACAATTATGTGGTCTGTCCATGAGTAACAATTCTGTGTCCCTCAGTAACAATTCTGTGTCCCTCAGTAACAATTCTGTGTCCCTCAGTAACAAATTCTGTGTCGGTCCGTGAGTAACAATTCTGTGTCTGTCCCTCAGTAACAATTCTGTGTCCCTGAGTAACAATTCTGTGTTCCCTCAGTAACAATTCTGTGTCCCTCAGTAACAATTATGTGTTGTCTGTCCATGAGTAACAAATTCTGTGTCCCTCAGTAACAATTCTGTGTCCCTCAGTAACAATTCTGTGTCCCTCAGTAACAATTCTGTGTCTGTCCTGAGTAACAATTCTGTGTCCCTCAGTAACGGTTCTGTGTCCCTCAGTAACGTTCTGTGTCCCTCAGTAACGGTTCTGTGTCCCTAAGTAACGGTTCTGTGTCCCTAAGTAACGATTGTGTGTCCCTAAGTAACGATTGTGTGGCCCTAAGTAACGATTGTGTGGCCCTAAGTAACGGTTCTGTGGCCCTAAGTAACGGTTCTGTGGCCCTAAGTAACGGTTCTGTGTCCCTAAGTAAACGATTGTGTGGCCCTAAGTAACGGTTCTGTGGCCCTAAGTAACGGTTCTGTGGCCCTAAGTAACGATTCTGTGGTCCCTAAGTAAACGATTCTGTTACACAGACAGGTCTGCCTCTCTTGAATGACTGGAGGCTAATGGAGAATTCTAAAATGGCCGCAATTTATAGCTCGACCATTACACAGTGCTGGCTGGCTGGCTGCTGATTGGCTAATGCGATCATATGTCATGAATGAATGCATTATGGGTCAGCGCGCCTTGTCTGCGCGCCTTCCCAGAGATCCCCGCTCCGTCGCCGCACATGTCGTCGCCATTTTTTAGGAAAAATTTCGATTCGTGCATCCGAAGTCTGCTAATTTTCGGATTCGGCAAGCGAATCGAAA